GGGTAAGGACTTGTATGGTCCAAGGGGGTCACTCAGGCTGTTCCTCCACCCTGTGCTCCAGCCAATTGCCGAGCAGGACTGCGTCCGCCACATCTGCCTGGAGGGTCAGCTGATCCGAGTGAACCAGTCAGAACACTGTCCGCAGGGCGCTGCACCTCCTCGCTGTGGGGTCCTGGGCCTTGCTGTGCGGGTGGGCGGGGACCGCTGCTGCCCGCTCTGGGAGTGTGCCTGTGAGTCCTGGGTCCAGTGATGCCTCCCATGTCTTCCTTGTACCCCTACCCCAGTGTGACCTTGTACCCCTTACCTGTGTGCTCCATGGCCTCAAGTTAACCCTGACGTGAAAGCACTCTCCAGTGTGACCCCTGACCTGGTAGATTTCCTACCCTTGTGACCTCTGATCTCTTAGTGACCCTGTAGCCCTCATGGCCTCTGAATCACCTAGGAAAAGACCTTGGCCCCGGGTGCATCTGTTTATTCTTTTTGTCCCTGCCTTCCCCTAGGCCGGTGCTCAATCTTCCCTGATCTGAGCTTTGTCACTTTTGATGGGAGCCATGCAGCCCTGTTCAAGGAGGCCATCTACATCCTTAGCCAGAGCCCTGAAGAAATGGTCACTGTCCATGTTCTTGACTGCAAAAGTGCCAACCTGGTGACTACCCGCCCCCCAGCCCTTCCCTTCCTGCTGGGGCCTTGGGATCTGGTTAGGTTTGGAGGGAGACTGAGCAGTGAGTTGAGTTTTGAGGCATTATCAGAAGCTAGGACAGAGGTGGAAGCCCCTTGGTCTCTCAGGGTTCTGGAATCCTGTTTGGGGAAAGGGTGAATGGAGTGCCAGCCCAGCCATCCTAGGGCCTGCACCATTTCCACCTCATCTCCACTGCCTAGGCCCCTGTGGGTGGCCCTGAAATGCAGAGGAACTAAGATGCCACCTCAAAGATGTAGCCTGTGGTTAAGGGTGCCAGCTGTAGGGAATCACCCACTAGGATACCCCCAGGAGCCAGGTGGAAGGAAGCAGCTTTTTTTGTTTTTTGACTGGGCTTGCAGGAGGTCAGATGGAACTGGAATGTTCTCTGGGCTTCTGTGCACCATCTGCACATCCCCAGTGGGTGCCCCTGGCCTACTGAGGGAGGGTTGAGGGGAGAGTTTCTACCCAGGGGGAGGAGGCAGCAGAACTGGGCTCCGGGTTGATGAGGGCTGGGTTCTCTCTGCAGGGGCACCTGAACTGGCCCCCATTCTGTCTGGTGATGCTGAACATGACTCACCTGACCCATCAGGTCACCATTGACCGCTTCAAACGGAAGGTGAGTGCATCAGAGAGCTGACCCCTGGGACAGAAGAGCAGTCAGGCCAGGGGTGGCGTGTCCAGGGGTGAAGGGGCTTTGAGGCTTATTCACAACTGGGGTAAAGATGGGGAAGGACCCTCTAAAAGAAAAACAATGCAAAATTAGGTATATTTGGAGTTGATTTTAATTAGAATATTTGTGGCCAATCTAACATCAAGGGAGGATATGTTCCAGGAGGAATATTGTAACAGAGAAGAAGTTAAATGGTCAGAGACAGTAGCCTTACATGATTGTGGTTAAAATACCCTATGTCTGCAATTTTTACAAGAATATATGGCAATGGAACGCATTACTAGGGCCCTTCTAAGAAGGGGACCGTATAAGTGAGGAGCCTTGAATTTAAGCTTCATTAGCTCTGCATTATGCCCACCTCTGTCAAGGAGGCCGGTGCCCAACCGCAGTACATCCCTGTGTGGGGTACCCGCTCCGAGGGCCCTGCCTTTGCTCTTCCACAGGTGGTGAGCAGGGCTCACTCACCTCCTCAGGTCCCAAAGTCCTGGCTCTCCCCACCTATTCTTGAGCCAAGACCTGCAGCCTTCTTACTGGAATCTGTCCTTGAACATTGAACACAGAGGCCACACCTTGTGAGAGTCTCAGGAGTGGAGCTCTGGGCAGTGGGTTTTCCATGAGATGGAGGCTTAAATATAAAACTCCCTGGGTTAAATTTTTTTCCATTAAAAAGAACAGAATAATTTACCTATAGAAAAATTCACCGTTGTTAGTGTGCAGGTCTGCAAGTTTTAACAGTTGTGTAACCACCACCACCATCGAGCATCAAACACTGCCCCATGCCATTTTGTTGTCAAGCCTTCCTCCCACCTCCTGATAACCACTGCCTTCTGACCCTATAGCTTTGCCTTTTCCAGAATGTTAAACATATGGAATCAGAGTATAGAGTGAGATTCACCCATGCTGGTGCGTGCATCAGTAGTTTGTTCATTTTTATTGTTGAATCGCATTCCATTTTATGGACGTACCCCTGTTGGTTTATCCATTCACCAATTGGAAGACATTTGAGTTGTCTCCAGATTTGGGCAATAACAGATAAAGCTGCTATAATCATTTACATAAAGGTTGTGTATGAATAAAGTTACCAGGAGCAGATTGCTGAGTTTATGGTGAAGATATGTTTAACTTTACAGTAACTTGCCAAATTACTTTCCAAAGCGGGCATTTAGCATTCTTGCTAGCAGTGTATGAGAGTTCCGGTTGTTTCATACACTTGTCAGCACTTTGTAGTATCAGGGTTTTTGTTGTTGTTGTTTGTTTGTTTTGTTTTTTAGATATTCAAATTGGTATGTAATAGGGTCTCATTCTAGTGTAATTTGCATTTCCCTAATTACTGATAATGTTGAGCATCTTTTCATGGGTTTATTGCCCATGATATATCCTCTCTGATGAAGTGTCTGTTCAGATCTTTTGTACGTTTGAAGTATTATGTTGTCTGCTTTGTTGAGCTTTGGGAATTCTTTGTATATTTTGGATTCAAGCCTTTTATTAGATATAAATATTATTTCCCATCTGTGGCATATTTTTTGTTCACCTACAAGTGTTTTTCAAAGGGCAAAAGTTATTAATTTTGATGGAGTACAATTTATCAATTTCTTCTTTTATAGATCTTGATTTTGGTATTGTGTCTAACAGATTACATATATGTTGCACTTTAAGTTAATTTTTATAAATGGTATGAGGTATGGGTTGAGATTCATTGTTTTTGTACATTTTTTGTTTTTCTACATGGACAATCATATCTTCTCCAAATAGAGGCAGTTTTATTTCTTCCTTTCCAATGTGTATGCTTTTTATTTATTTTTCTTGCCTATTGCTCTGGCTAGGACCTCTAGTATGATGTTTAATAAGAGGGACTGAGAACCAGCATTCCTGTCTTTCATCTGATCTTGGGAGAAGGCATTCAGTCTTTGACTAGGAACATGGACTTAGTTGTAGACTTTTTATAGCTGTCCTTTGCCAGGTTAAGAAAATTTCCCTTCTATTTGTACTTTGCTGAGAGTTCTTATTACCATGAGCAGATGCTGAATTTTGTCAAATACTTTTTTCCACATCTATTGAGATAATCATACTGTTTTTCTTCTTTAGACTTCTTTTTGCAAGATCACAGTATTGATGTTTACTTGAAAAAGGAAAGATTTTCAGATTTATTTCAAATAAATAGCTTCCAAAGAATAGTAGTTACATTTAAAGAACATTTATATATATATATTTTTAAAAATCTGAGTCAAGATTTACACCACCAGCAAAAGGCTCCTTATTAAACATGTTTAGAAGTTAAATAGTTTACCTAAGTAAAAGAAACTATAATTCCAGGATTCAGTAACTGTGGATCAACTTTCAAGTGTAATCAGATGAGTTCAATGTAACTGTCAAATTAAAAAAAAAAAATCTTGAATTCTCTGGATTTTGTAGTTCCAGTTTCTAGCTTTAAAATCTTTAAATCACCTGTTCTTGAAGGTCCATTCTTTCTGTTTTTATGATTCTAGCAGTCATGGATTCAACAAGTATATCGTAAAGTATGCAGAGAGTTATTTACTGCTCACTGAGCCCCAATGCTGTTTGAGGTTCACCGATGATTTTTTCTTAAAAATATTTGAGCTCTCTGTGGGAATGCCTTTCTTGGCCATTCCTGTTTGAAAAGCTTCCCCAGCGTGCGAAGCTTCTATCCTGATGTTCCTGAGGTCAGACCAATGGCTCGTTTTGGGAGATTTTGCCATTGTGCATCCTCAAAGACAGCGAACTGCTGATGGAGACACTGTAATTTGGCCTTTTATTGTCATCCTTCCCCAAATTATTTTTTAAAGACAGCTTTTTAGAGGAGTTTAGGATTCACAACAAAACTGAGAGGAGGGTACGGAGGTCTCCCATATGTGCATAGCTTTCCCCGTCACCAGCACTTCTCACCAGAATGGTGCACTTGTTACCAGTGCTGAACCTGCACTGACACATCATAATCACTGAAATCCATGGTTTACCTTAGGGTTCACTCTTGTGTTGTATGTTCTGTTGGTTTACACAAATATATAGTGACGTATATGCATCACTATAAAATCATACAGAGTATTTCCACTGCCCTAAAAATTCTCCATGCTCTGCCTGTTTATTCCTTCACCCCTACAACCACTGATCTTTTTACTGTCTCCATAGTTTTGCCTTTTCCAGGATGTCATATAGTTGGAATCATACATGGTACGTAGCCTTTTCAGATTGATATCTTTCACTTGATAATGTTCATTAAAGGTTCTTCCACATCTTTCTGTGGCTTGATACCTCATTTCTTTTTAGCACCGAATAATATTTCACTTCTTTAGACTACTAATATGATGAATTGCTTGAATTTTCAAATGTTGTACCATTCTTGCATTCTGGAATTAAGTTTATTGGTCAGTATGTGTTATTCTTTTTATATGTTGTTGGATCTCCATCAGAGGTATTAATCTAAATTTTTGTGTTGGTTTAGTTTTAGTATCAGAATCATGCTAGCCTCATATAATGAATTGGAAAGTATTTTCCTCTCCTTAATTTTCTAGAAGAGTCCATATACATTTATTAATATTAATATTTTCTTTCTTAAAAATTTGGTGGAATTCAACAGTGAAGCCATATTGGTCTGAAGTTTTCTCTGGGGCAGTTTTTTAAAATACGTATTCAATTTCCTTGAAAGATAGAGGGCTATTCTGGTTATCTATTCCTTTTTTCAGTAAGCTTGGGTAGTTTGCATTTTTCAAAGAATTTGTCCATTTCATTGAAGTTGTCAAATGGATGGGCATTAAATTATTTACCGTATATCTTACTATTCTTTTAATGTCTGTAGGACCTGTGTCTGTGTACTCTACCTCATTCCTGATATTGGTAATTTGTGTTTTTCCTCTGGCTAAAGTTTTATCAGATTAATTTTTTTTCCTGAAAGAATGGTCTTACTGGTTTTCTCTATTATTTTTATGTTTTCCGTTCCATTGATTTCTGCTCTTATCTATATTATTTTCTTTCTTCTGCTTAATTTGGGTTTAATTTACTCTTCTTTTTCTAGTTTATTAGGTGGTAGCCTAGGTAACTGATTTGAGACCTTTCTTCCTTTTCTAATATAAGCAAATTTTTAGTGCTACAGTTTTTCCTTTAAGGCTGATATAGCTGCATCTTACAAGTTTTGATATGTTGTATTTTTATTTTCATTAAGTTCAAAATACTTTTAAATCTCCCTTTTGACTTTTATTTGGTATTTATGGGTTATTTATAAGTGCTTTTAAAAATAAGTCTTCAAGTATTTGGTAATTTTCCAGATATCTTTCTATTATTGGTTTCTAATTTAATTCCTTTGTGTTCAGGGAACATTCTTTGTCTAACTTGAATCCTTTTAAATTTAATGAGATGTTTTATTTACTAGAATATATTCTAGTCTTTATTCTAAGCATGATTCTATTCCTTATTCTTTGTTCTGGGTAGTGATTGCTCATTACTGAAGCAGTGGCCTTCTGCATGCCCTGCCCTATGCTCTGTGTATTACAAGGTATTTCCACCCTAGCTGGTGTTGGCTCTGACCATCCCTAACCAGGTGTGAGACCTGGAGATTTTTCTCTCTGCTCCTTTCAGGTGGTTCTTCCCCTGGTCTCAGGTAGTTTTCTCATCTGCATGCACTGATCAATATTTAGCTGAAAACTCAGGACAGGGTTAGGACAGTGTCATGGGGACTCTCTACAGAGCTTTTCCCTCCTTCCCTCCCCACGTCTCTCTTTTCCTCTCCCCAGCTCTCTTCTCTTCAGTATTCTGCTCTGCTGACTAGGTATCTTGGTCTCCGTGAACTCCCAACTTTTGTCTCATAAACTCAGGGAGCCCACCAGGCTCTGTCTGGATTCTTCCTTTCTGCACAGTGGCCTGGAAACTTCTCTGAGCCATAACCTTGGGCGATTGTAAGGCTCACCTCATTTGTGAGCCTTTCTCAGTGATCACTCTCCTGTGCTGCCAACTGTTCAATGTCTGAAAACTGTTGTCTCAGGTTTTTAGACTGTTTGAGGCAAGAAGGTATATCTAGCACTGATTACTCCATCTTGGTCAGAAGCTGAAGCCCAGGTTGTTAACTTTGAATCTTTTGTTCTGTATCCTTACTTGGACTTGAAGTCCTCTGCACACAGGTGAGGATCCCTGGGCTTCAGACATGGGTGTTCACTCCTAGACCTGGGACAGTGCTCCAGGCTTGCGGAGCCCACGGCCCTGTCTGCACAGCTCGGAAGGCTCAGGTCGTGAGAGAGCCAGGGACTTTCCCAAGGTCAAAGTTTTCTAACTGCTGGACTGGGGCTCCCTCTACTTCAACACAGTGGTTTATGTACTGGATACTTTGCAACGTGATTAATAAAACAGTGATTCTTGAGTGGGGGGGTGTATAAAGTCATTATAAATATTTAAAAATCCTAATATTTTCATCTCCCATTTCTACAGAGTAAAGCTAATAATCCATAATACATACAAATTTAACCTGGTCTGTATGTAGCAGGGGTTGTAGCTTTGAATTTAAAGTGTTGCGGATTTAGCAAACATTGACTGAGTCTCCAGTTTATGTCAGGTCCAAAGGCAGGTGCTGAGCATTCAAAGGTGAGTGGGACATAGTGTCTGCCCTTAAGAAACTCACGGTCCCCTGGGAGCCTTGATGAGGGAACAAATGGATTCTATCTTAAAGACCAGCACAGGGATGGGGAGACCCCAGAGAAGGGGAATCCAATGCAGAAGCTGGGGATTTAGGGAAAATCTCCCAGAAGAAATGATGTGAGTCAGGAAAGAAGAGAGTGATTAGAAGGGCTTGGGATTTGTGCTTATTTGCGCGTGTAGATGTCGCCTGCCTTCTGCTGTTGCACTTCCTCTTTCATTGCTTTGTGCTGGTAATAATGTTTTGAGAATTTTCCCATGCCATCTTGGACTCTGTCTTGGCTGTGTGTGGCTGAAACAGAGCCTGCCACATAGCAGGTTCTTAATAACTGTTAGTTGGACAAATGGATGGATGGATGGATGGACAGACGGACAAGCTGTGCTCACATTGTTTCCCCTCCCCCTACAAGGTGTCTGTGGACTCACAGCCTGCATGGCCCCCTGTGAGCAAGCACGGGTTCAGAATTGAGGACACAGGCCACATGTATGTGATCCGGACACCGTCACACATCCAGATCCAGTGGCTCCACAGCTCAGGACTCATGATCCTGGAAACCAGCAAAGCCAGCGAGGCCCAGGGCCGTGGACTGTGTGGTGAGGTGGGACCCAACTGAGGGGAGGGGATGCTTCTTGGGTCCACCTCTGCTCTCAGACACAGATTTCCTGGACCAGGGAGAGCTGGGGCAGAGTGCCAGGCCAGAGGTGGGACCAGCAGAGCTGCCAAGGCAGAGACCTGATGTCTTGTGCACTGAGCCTGAAGCTACCAGCAGGGAGATGGCGCAGAGCTCTGGCTTCAGCCAGTTGTCGCTTTAGCCGAGATTGACTGTCAGCTTCCCTGATAGCTTCCTAATACCAGATAATCCTCCATGTCTGCGTATGCCTGGGCACTTCACAAAGCACTTCCACACTCTGATCTCACTTATTCCAAGTCATCCACACAATAGCCCTGAGAGATGGCTATTGATCTAAAGAAGAAACGGGGCTCAGAGAGGTTAAGTGGCTTGCCTAAGGTCACACAGCAGAGCTGCCACAACACAGAATTAGTGCTCTTCAGACTATTGCATCGTTGCAGAGAGCACGCCCTAAGGGCCTGGATGTATTTTGATAAGAAAAAGGGGTAGAGGAGGAGTCTGAGTGTGGATTGCTACTCCTTGCAGGGGCAGAAGGATGTGGGCTCCTACAGAGCACTCCATCATGATTATGATGATGGATGACATTGGAATACTTACACACACATACTTGTATGCTCTCCATCCATAAATCTGCACCCATTTTATTCATTCACACTCACACCCCTGTATTCAAAATGCCCTCTGCACATGAACTAACACATGTGAGTCTGCTCCCAGTTCCTTCCTTCACTTGTGCAGCACATATTTACCATGTACCAGTCACTAGGAACAGAACAGTAGGCAAAACACACAAAATCTGTTTTATGAAGCTTCCATTCTTCCTGACACAAACATCTCTACACACACACACACACACACACGCACACATTGCCATCTCCTCTCCCATCGCTTTCTCACCACTTCTTCCTTCTCCTGTTTATGCCTGGGGATGAGTGCTGTGGCCAGCATCTGGTGGGCCAGCTCCTCCTTAGGATGCCTTCAGTGACTCAATGCTAAGACCAAAAATCTGACCAGTAGGACTATTGATAAAATCTGAGGATTTTGTATTAAATCATACATTATATTCCCAAAATTGGTGGCTGGAGATGTCAGAGCAGAAGTCAGCTAATTTATCTCTATTTATTCCAAACTAACACTTGGTATACCGGGCACCTGCTAAGCAACTTAGGGGAATATTGAGGGAGAGAATATGAAGAAAAATGAGTCTTCGCACTCAGAGAGCAAAGCAGACCTGCAAACTGTACCTGTTACACAGAATTGGGAAGGTCATGGATGGGTGCGCCTGTGGCGCCTGTGAAAGGACTTCTGAGAAAGTGTTTCAGATGGAAGGAGCCACATAAGCAAAGTCAAGGGCAGGGAAGTGTGTGTTTGGAGCCTAGAGTGTGAGAGATGAAGCTGGAAGTTAAGGTCATTTTAGAAGCTGTGACAGATAAACTTCATCTCGCCTCCATCTCGGTGCCTTAACACAACGGAATTTTATTCCTTGCACACGTAAATTCCCAGATGGAGTGTCCTTCCATCC